CCATACACAAAAATAAACTCAAGATGGATTAAAGATCTAAATGTAAGACCAGAAACTATAAAACTCCTAGAGGAGAACATAGGCAAAACACTCTCCGACATAAATCACAGCAGGATCCTCTATGACCCACATCCCAGAATTTTAGAAATAAAAGCAAAAATAAACAAATGGGACCTAATGAAACTTAAAAGCTTTTGCACAACAAAGGAAACTATAAGCAAGGTGAAAAGACAGCCCTCAGATTGGGAGAAAATAATAGCAAACGAAGCAACAGACAAAGGATTAATCTCAAAAATATACAAGCAACTCCTCCAGCTCAACTCCAGAAAAATAAATGACCCAATCCAAAAATGGGCCAAAGAACTGAACAGACATTTCTCCAAGGAAGACATACAGATGGCTAACAAACACATGAAAAGATGCTCAACATCACTCATTATCAGAGAAATGCAAATCAAAACCACAATGAGGTACCATTACACACCAGTCAGGATGGCTGCTATCCAAAAGTCTACAAGCAATAAATGCTGGAGAGGGTGTGGAGAAAAGGGAACCCTCTTACACTGTTGGTGGGAATGCAAATTAGTACAGCCACTATGGAAAACAGTGTGGAGATTTCTTAAAAAGCTGGAAATAGAACTGCCATATGACCCAGCAATCCCACTTCTGGGCATACACACCGAGGAAACCAGATCTGAAAGAGACACGTGTACCCCAATGTTCATCGCAGCACTGTTTATAATAGCCAGGACATGGAAGCAACCTAGATGCCCATCAGCAGATGAATGGATGAGGAAGCTGTGGTACATATACACCATGGAATATTACTCAGCCATTAAAAAGAATTCATTTGAATCAGTTCTAATGAGATGGATGAAACTGGAGCCCATTATACAGAGCGAAGTAAGCCAGAAAGATAAAGACCATTACAGTATACTAACACATATATATGGAATTTAGAAAGATGGTAACGATAACCCTATGTGCAAAACAGAAAAAGAGACTCCTATGTATAGAACAGACTTGTGGACTCTGGGAGAAGGCGAGGGTGGGATGTTTCAAGAGAACAGCATTGAAACACGTATATTATCTAGGGTGAAACAGTTCACCAGCCCAGGTTGGGTGCACGAGACAAGTGCTTGGGCCTGGTGCACTGGGAAGACCCAGAGGGATTGGGTGGAGAGGGAGGTGGGAGGGGGGACCGGGATGGGGAATACATGTAAAAAAAAAAAAAAAAGATACACTATGGTTGTGATAAAAAAAAAAATTAAAAAATAAAATTAAAAAAAAAAAAAAAAAAAAAAAAAAAAAAAAAAAAAAAAAAGAAGACTTTATGTCTCTCCTTGGTATTCTCTGGAATTCTGGCATTCAGTTGGGTATACTTTACCTTTCTCCCTTGCCTTTTGCTTCTCTTCTTTCCTCATCTATTTGTAAAGACTCCTCAAACAACCACTTTGCCTTTCTTTTTCTTGGAGATGGTTTTGGGCACTGCCTCCTGTACAATGTTAGAAACCTCCGTTCATATTTCTTCAAGCACTCTACCATATCTAATCCCTTGAAATTACTCATCAGCTCCACTGTACAATCATAAGGGGCTTGATTTAGGTCATATCTGAATGACCTAGAGGTTCTCTCTACTTCCATTTAAGTCTGAATTTTCAAATAAGGAGCTCCTTTTTGGGTGCAAAGAATATAATTATTCTGATTTTGGTGTTGACCATCTGATTAGGTCCATATGTAGCATCATCTCTTGTGTTGTTGGAAGAAAGTGTTTGCTATGACCAGCGTGTTCTCTTGCCAAACTCTTTAGCCTTTGCCCTGTATCATTTTGTACTCTAAGGGCAAATTTCCCTGTTACTCCAGGTATCTCTTGACTTCCTACTTTTGCATTCCAATCCTCTGTGAAGAAAACGACATCTTGGGTGTTAGTTCTAGAAGGCCTTATAGGTCTTCATAGAACCGTTCAACCTCAGTTTCTTTAGCATTAGTGATCAGGACATAGATTTGGATTACTCTGATGTTGATTGGTTTGCCTTGGAAATGAACCAAGATCATTCTCTCATTTTTGAGATTGCACCCAAGTACTGCATTGTGGATTCTTTTGTTGAATATGAGGGCTACTCCACTTCCTGTGAAGGATTCTTGACCACAGTAGTAGATATAATGGTCATCTGAATTAAATTCACCCATCCCTGTACATTTCAGTTCAGTGATTCTTAAGATGTCAGTGTTCACTCTTGCCATCTTCTGCTGGACTATGTCCAATTTATCTTGACTCATGGACCTAACAATCCTGGTTTCTATGCAGTATTGTTCTTTACAGCATTGGACTTTACTTTCATCACATCCACAACTGAGTCTTGTTTCCTCTCTGGCCCTGCTGCTTCATTCTTTCTGGAGTTATTAGTAACGGCCCTCTGCTCTTTCCCAGTAGTATACTGGACACCTTCTGACCTGTGGGGCCCATTTTCTGGTGTTAAGTCTTTTTTTTCCTTTTCATACTGTTCATAGGGTTCTCTTGGCACGAGTACTGGAATGGGTTGTCATGTCCTCCTCCAGTGGACCATGTTTTGTTAGAACTTTCCACTACGACCATCTGTCTTGAGTGGCCCTGCCCAGCATGGCTCATAGCTTCATTGAGTTATCCAAACCCCTTCACCACGACAAGGCTGTCATCCATGAATGGGTCAAAAAGTATGTAACATCCTCAGATAAAACTCACAAAAATATGCAATACTGCTGTGGAGAAAATACATGGAGACCTAAATATAGGGACCAAAATAAAAGGAGAGCTATACCATGGTAATGGACTAGTAAAATCAATAATGTTAGATAATATTTTTTCCCAAGTAGATTTAAAGATTCAAAGAATCCCATCAAAGTCTCAGCATTTTTATTCATAAGTTGTCATGATGACTATTATTTATTTGAGTTGAGCATAGCCAAGACAGTTGAACAGGAACTTACAGAAGCTACTATGGAAGATGATATAGAGATTCCTTTTAAAACTAGGACTAAAACCACCATATGACACAGCAATCCCACTCCTAGGCATATACCCTGAGGAAACCAGGGTTGAAAAAGACACATGTATCCCATTGTACCTTGCAGCACTATTTACAATAGCTCAAACATGGAAGCAACCTAGATGCCCATCAACAGATGAATGGATAAAGAAGTAGTGGTACATATACACAAAGGCATATTACTCGGCCGTAAAAAGGAACGCATTTGAGTCAGTTCTGATGAGGCGGATGACCCTAGAACCTATTATACACAGTGAAGTAAGTCAGAAAGAGAAAGATAAATATCATATTCTAATGCACATATATGGAATCTAGAAAAATGGTTCTGAAGAATTTACTTACAGGGCAGCAGTGTAGAAACAAACACAGAGAATAGACTTATTGACATGGTGAGAGGGGAGGAGAGGGTATGGAAAGAGTAACATGGAAACTTACATTACCATAGGTAAAACAGATAGCCAACGAGAATTTGCTGTATGGCTCAGGAAACTCAAATAGGGGCTCTGTATCAACCTAAAGGGGTGGGATGGGGAGGGAGATGGGAGGGAGGTTCAAAAGGGAGGGGATATACATATACTTATGACTGATTCATGTTGAGGTTTGACAGCAAACAACGAGGTTTTGTAAAGCAATTATCCTTCAATAAAAAAATAAATTTTAAAAAGAATTTATGGAAGGATACTTATTCTACCTTATCAAGACTGTTTCCTGCTGTGTTAACAAAGGGTGATATTTGTGACCCTATTCCTTGCTGCAACCTGCCTCCACACCTGTTGCAGATTCTTCCTACCTTTCTTTTCTTTTGCTTTTCCCCCTAATGTTTATTTTCTAAAATGCTGTATAATTTTGTTCATGACTTCTTGTCTGCTCAATCTCTCTGTTAGGGAAAGCACACTGACTGAAATCGCCCACCTTGGCCAGGCACCACAGTAAACATTTGCATGAGTAATTTCATGACAGAAGGAGGTCCTACTAAAGAACAGGAACTAATAAGCCACCACCGATCAGAAGAGTTCAAGAAAGGTCAAAAGGAAACACCACATGTCTGATCATCTCCCAGAATCCTTCTCCCTGGTATCCCTCTTGACCGAGCAACGTGTGCACCACCAGGAAGGACTCTTGAATCAGAATAATTGGCCAAAGATAACCTGGAAAGTAATCCCCCATCAGCATAATGCCTGAGACTGTGAGCCATGTGGCAGAGCAGTTCTCCTGGGTTCTCTTACCCCACTGCTCTCTGGGGGGGGGCTGGGGGGTGGGGGTCAGGGTACTTTTTCCAATAAAGTCTCTTGCTTTGTCAGCGTGTGTGTCTCCTTGGACATATAATTTCCGAACGCTAGACAAGAGCCCTCTTTGGGGCCCTGGAGGGGGTTTCCTTCCTCCAACACCTCTTTCCCCAACCCCTGACCCAGAAAAAAGTTCTCCAGAGCAATGATCTCTGTTTTGCTCACCAAGATAGGGCTTATCTCCAACGGGTGCTCAATACACTTGTTGAAAGACTTAAGAGAAAATAGGTTTGCTCTTGTCAGTTGTCTACTTGCCTTACTATCATTTACAAAGATGCAGAGCTACAGGATACTATCCTGGCAAAACGGTTTCCTCTGAAGAACCAGGAACCCACGACCCAGCGGCCCAGGAAGCACCAGCACAAGCTCAGAATACGTCTGGGCATGGGACAGACTCAGCCCGGCCTCTCCTGGCTGAGTTAGGAAGAACTACACTTCCCAGAATCCTTGGGTACTGGTGCGGACTACATTTCCCAGAGGGGATAGCGATAGCCCCTGAGGGTCCCGGACCTGCGTGGGTTTTGCCGCTGGCGTGAAAGGCCTCCCGGCGTGAGGTCGACCCAGGCAGCACCTCGGACAAGTCCCTACCTGAAGCAGCTGTCTGGCCGTGGCAGTTCCGGAGCACACCACTTGCTGCCCGCGGAACCCCTGGAGGCCTGGGCGAGGTTAGCGGCGGAGGGTCGGCGGGATGCAGGAGGGAGGACCGGGCCTCGGGAAGATGCTGCGTCGGGGCGCGGGGCAGAGGCCCAAGAGGCGAGAGCGGGTTCTTGGTGGGTGCCGGCGGGCCGTGGGCGGGGCACCACCGCCTCTGTTTTCTTGGCGCCACCGCCTCCCACAGATGTGCCCTGAACGCCGCAAGTCGGGCACTTCCTCCCCATTCGTCGGGTTCTGCCACCCTGCTGCTTTCTCCGACCTGTTCCCAGCGAGCTGCCTGCCCGGCTCCTGGGGCGTTTTAATTTGCTCCGGGCCGGCAGTGAAGGAGAAGATTATTTCTTCCCCCTCACATCGCTACTGCCCTCCTCAGTGAAAGGCTTGTTTTGCGTGAGAAGTGAGTCACTGGTTTCCCCCAGTGGCAGAATCAGGACTGGAATCCCGGTCTTCGGTTGTCGGTGCCTCCTCCCTCAAGCCTGCTCCCCGCTTTAGGAGAGCTGCTGTGTTCCCTTCTGGAAGCAGGTTTTCTAGAAAAATCTGGAAATTGTTTCCTTAACAGGAGGGGGAGGAGTTGGGTGGGAAGACTTGGATGGAGAAAAGTTGTCACGTGCATGCAGGGAGGTTAAAGCGTGTGCTCTGGAGCCAGCTGTGGTTGGAATCCTGGTACCACCCTCCTTTGGCTGTGTGGACTGGGGTAAGTTGCTCCCACTCTGCCCTCAGTTTCCTGATCTATAAAATGGGGGGTGGGGGGGCTGACGGTGCCAACTGTGCTCAGTGATGCAGGTAGTGCCTGACCCTTGGTGAGGCTCAAGGAGCTGCTACTACTGCTGATAGAGTCCTAGGACCTTTTCCTCTGAGTCAGGGAGAGAGCTGGGCCTGGAACAGGATGACCCAACCCTTTTTTCTGGTGCTGTCTGTTCCGAGGTCCTGACTTCCTTCTCTGAGGGCACATAGTATCATTCTCAGGGAATGTAATGGTTTCAGAGCTGCTGATTCTGAGGGGTGGAAAGAAAAGGGGCTTCCTCCTGGCTCCCTTTTTCTTCTCTCAGATCTGACTTCCAGAGACTTCACCCATCCTCAAGGGAAACTGCTCAGAAAGAGGATATGGCTGCCGAACAGAGGGAAACAAGGTCTCAGGTGAGTTCATTGCCCTCTCAAGTCAAATAGATTTGTTTTTTTATCTGCAAACTGGAGTTCTCCCCCTAATACCATCTTCGCCAGGATTTGGAGCCCATATCCTTTTCTCTTTGAAGAGCTGGCCCACAGAGGTTGATGGTGGATTCCATGGGGAATGTTCACTTCCAACCTTGCAAACCATATCTAGTGTTTCTCTTTTGTTTTCCTGGTAGACACTCTTTTATTCGTTAATCTCAGCTCACCATGTGATTACTAATTAGACAGGTAAGATGCCACACGTCTTGGCAGAGTTGCTTTCTGGCCTGGCCCCTTTGCTCATTCCTGTCCCTCTCCCTGCCCTTGGCCAGAACGCTTTTCTTTTTCTTTCCACCCCTGAGAATCCTCATGCTATCTTTCCCAGGTTTTTCCCAATCCATAGTTGTTCGGTTTTTTTCTCCCTTTTAACTTTCTGAATCATGTATCTCGCTTCTATCACTCTCTTGAAAGCTGATCTTGACCTACTATTTTGATCTTCATTCTGTGGAAATGACGGTGGGGCCCCCATCCAGGTTAACCATGTTAGAGGGAACATAAATGGAGAGGTCTCTTGACTTCAAGAGCAGGGAGAAGACTCCTCAGGAAGTGGCAGGGAGGCTTTTGTGGGATATCAGTAGTGGAGAGTCAAGGTATACAGGGTATACAATTAGAAGTGGGGCTCTCAAGCCAGACAACCAGGCTTGAACCCATATCTTCTGTTGCCATTTATAGGCCTTAGGTATCTGCATCTCTCTCTGCCTCTGTTTCCTCAGCTGTAGAATGAGAATAACAACCATGCCTACCTCATAGGGTAGATGAGAGGATCACATGAAATTACAGCATGAAAAGTGTTTTAATCAGGGCTGGGGATCAGTTGTAGTAGCTGAACAGTATCATTCTAGTCCATGATACTATTACAGTTGGTAGATAGAAATTACTGTACAGTGTTTTTCAGACCCAGAAAATACTGTCAATTTTTACTTATTTTCATCTAACAATAATATTGATAGTTAACGTTGCTAGGGAATATCCCGAGGGCTTTACCTTTGTTCTCACTCTCATAACAGTGCAGCAGTTATTACCCCATTTTACGTATGAGGGAACTGAGACTCAAAGAAGTCAAGTGACCTGAAATCAAACCCAGGTGTGTCTGGCCTCTCAGTTTATGCTGGTTATTGCCCAGCCGTTCCTCTGGTGCATTTCTCAGAATGCAGAGTAGGCCCAGACCCTGTGTTACCGGAGCTTTTTGCGATGTGATGCTGCATGTCATTTGAAGCCACGAAATGTAGCGATTGAACTTCTGAGGCAATGGCTAGGACCTGCCTCTGTATATTGAGCTGCTTGGCTTTCACATTCCATCCCAGCAGAGTCAAGCTGCTCTCTTGCCCAGAATCTTCTCCGTCCCTATCTAACACTCCTCCCTAACCTCACCTGCTGTGTGGACTTGTGTGTAAAACTCAGTGATGGGATGTTTTAGGATCAGAGAGAGAAGATACCAAGCGCTGTGTTAAAAGGAGACTAGTTATCATCCTGTCTCTGCCATTAATAAAGTATGTGACTTGGAATCCTAACTGCCCTGGATCTTGTGTTCCTCTTCTCTAAAATAAGGATTAATAGAAATGATGTGTGGTCATATTCAGCTACACATTTTCTTTTACTGTTCAAATTCATGCACTTTTCTTGTCTGTTAGTTAGATTGTAAATTTTTGACAGCAAAGATCATTTCTTGTATTCCTCACCAATATTAATTTAATGCCTCATCTTACCATAAAAATATTGCATAATTGTGGCAAAAAAACTTTACAGAATAAAATATGCACATATATATGTGTATATATGCTTGTATATGCACATATGTACATAGATGTGTGTATGTGTGTGTATTTGTGTATATATTTTTTCCATATATGCAAAAAAAAACCCCACCATCTGGAGATAACTGCTGTGAGCCATTTGTTATGTATCTCTCAGCATCATTTTCTATGTACATATTTAATTTTTTTTCAAAAATGGGAACAAACTATACATACTGATACATAATCTGCTTTTTGTACTTAACATTATCATGAATGCCTTTTTAAGTCAACATTGTTGACTTATACCATCAGTTTTAATGATTGCATAGTACTTTATATTGATGTGATAATAGGTAACATCTGAACCTTTAATATAAGCTTGGTACGGTTTTAAGTACATTGTATGCAGTATTTCAATTATTTACCAATTATTTGGTAGATTTTGAGAGGCCTTTTACAGAGTGGTTAAGAATGGAGCCTTAGCCATGCACCTGAAATTGGAATCCCAGCACTACCACTGACTGGCTTTATGATTTTAGACAGATGCCTTCCCCTCTCTGTGAGTTCTTCTGTGTAAAGTGAGGATACTAAGAGTACCTTCTTCTCAAGGTTGTCATGAAGATAAAATAAAAGATTTACACTAAAGGTTAATATAAAGCTGTAAGAATAGTACTTAGCCTGAAGAAAACATTCAATAAATGATAGCTATTTTATTTTATTTCTTTTTAATGATAGCTATTTTAATTGCCACTATTGTCCTCAGGCTTCAGAGAGCACACAGATAATGCCTTAAATTATTTAACCCAGCCTCTGTCAATGATTACTTAGGTTGTTTCCATTTCTTTGCTCTTACTAACACCATAATAAATGTCCTTGTGTGTGCATTTTTTTGCACAGTTCATTATCAAACAAATACAGTAATTTGGAGGGTTAAAGAGTATAAACATTTTAAAGCTCTTAATATGTTTTATTGAATTGCCTTAAGAAACATTATTCTAATGAAAATTCCTACTAATGGCCTTAATACCTCCACACATCTCTGTGGTTAACACAGGTCATGGTTCAGACTTCATGCTACTCAGTATATATTTGTCATAAATCAAGTGTTCATTAAACAAGTGACTTGAACCTTTCAGAATCTAGAATAAGATAAAAGCATTTCATGGTAGCCTTACTACTTCCCATTGCTGCTGCCTTCACCCTGTGTGATGGGTGGTCCTGGGTGAGCTAGGATACTTGTCTCTACAGGTGTCAGTGACGTTCGAAGATGTGGCTGTGCTCTTTACACGGGATGAGTGGAGAAAGCTGGCTCCTTCTCAGAGAAACTTGTACCAAGATGTGATGCTGGAGAACTATAGTAACCTTGTCTCATTGGGTAAGGAAATTTCCTCTGATCAGAAATTGGGATAACTCAGCACCCAATTCCCTGGATAAAAGCCATGGATCATCAAAATTTCAGCTGAATTTTGCCTTAGCACTGTACAAATTGGATCTCCAAAAATAAATCTGAAAATTTTTTCTTCCTCATAAGCATGGATACCTCGTGCCTCATGGATGGGACAGTCTACAGAACTGCACATTAGAAATTCCTTCATAGTTCAGGCCATTCCCACTATGATGTATTTGCTCATTTCTAAGCAGAGAGCATCCTTCAGCCCCGTTATTTGACCCACCATTTGCCTTTCCCAGTTTTCTTTTCCAGCCAGATGAACACCATATAATCCATATTTTTAAAGGGAGCTAGATAGTGTTTTCTCATTTTAAACAAGCTACCTGTTACATAATCCTTTCCATAGATACCTGTTTATAGATATTAGTCTGGACATCTCACATATTTCTTTTTCTAGAGAAAGCTAATGGTACCCTATTTCAGGGCTGCATGTTCATTGTGTTTCCCTCACATGTAACTAATTATTCCATTGGTAGGTTCTACAAGTCCCTTGCTTTTTCCCTAACCCACCCCTTTACATCATAGGGGCATAGCTTGAGCACCCCACAGAATCTCTTTGTATCGTCCTCTAAGTTTCCGCTCAGAACCAGTCACCTCTTTGTGTCAAAACTGAGTTTGTTGTTGTTTTTATTTTTTTGTCTTTTTTTTTTCCTGTGAGTAGGACTCCCGTTTTCCAAACCTGAAGTGATCTCCCTGTTGCAGCAAGGAGAAGATCCCTGGAAGGTAGAGAAAGAAGGCCCTGAAGGTTCCTCTCTAGGTGAGTGAGTGGGGAATCTCTGCAAGCAGCAGTCTGGTAAACAAGTGGATGTGTGACTTGGAGATGTTGGTCAGTGAATTTTCTCCAGGTTCTCAGTCCTCAAGAAATGATGGAGAAGGAATGCTAAGGCCCCCAGTCACAAGCATCCTCTTTTTCTCTTACAGTTACTTCCCAGGAGAAATCTTTCAGGATCTTTTTTCTTATTCTTTCCTGTTTCAGAGGAGGACTACATTTTCATGTACTCATTCAGCAGATTTAGTGTATTTAAGGAACTGTAGCTGTTTCATTCTGACTAAAGGCCAGGGTTATCGGAAGGGAAAGAGATGAGAAAGGAAATAGATTGGAAAGCCGGGTGGGGGCCACACTATGGGTGCTTTGGCACAGTTCTTGAAGATGAGAACTGTCTCTGGTTGACTGGAAGTAATTTAAGAAGCTTTTGATAGTTTTATTTACGTGGGTGTCACTCTTTGGCTGGGCTGGGTCTTTGCTGCTGCGGGTCGCTGTCTAGTTGGGATGCTCGGGCTTCTCGCTGTGGTGGCTTCTCTTGTCCTGGCTCCCGGGCTCAGGAGCACAGGCTCAGCAGTTGAGGCTCATGGGCCAAGTTGCTCCTTGGCCTGTGGGATCATCCTGGACCAGGGATTGAACCTGTGTCTCCTGCATTGGCAGGCTGATTCTTTCCCGCTGAGCCACCAGGGAAGCCCCAATTCAAGAATTTAAGCTGAAGAATGATGTGGTCCTTGCTATTTTGGAAAAGTTGGTCTGAGTCTGAGACACTTTAAGCATCCTGAGGTGGGTCGCTGTGTTGGCACACAGCAGCACAGTTAGAAAGAAGGAGCACTGGTGTGGGCTGAGCTCCAAGGCCTGTGAGAAACTAAAGCAAGTTACAGAGCATGATTATAACATGTCACCATTTACATGTACAAAAATTTACATGGTGTTTGTCTACATGCATGCATGTGAAAGTAGCTCAGTCATGTCCAGCTCTTTGTGACCCCATGGATATACAATCCATGGGATTCTCCAGGCCAGAATACTTCAGTTCCCTTCTCCAAGGGATCTTCCCAACCCATGGATCGAACCCAGGTCTCCCGCATTGCAGGATTCTTTATACCTGCTGAGCCACCAGGAAAGCCCCTGGTGTTATACATGTTTGTCTACATGCATAATATGTGCTTAAGTGCTTAAAAAAAGGTCAGGGGACACTAATTACATGTGGATTGGGATCAAGAATGGGCATGAGGAAAGGGGACTTACTTACATTTAATTTTATTAGAATTTTCACAAAATATTCATGAAGTCCTTAATTATGTAATTTGAATTTAATAAGAATAGTCACTTTGAAAACATTGTTGGCCTTAGATTTGACTTGAGAAAAAAATAGAGGTGGGAACCTTCTAGAGATTATTGCATAATGTAGGCAAGACATTACCTGGAAGAAGGCGTGTGCTGTGGGTTCAGGAGGGAAGAGGAGGCCCCCTTTGTTACGGGCATGTGATGAGTTCAGTGTGGGATGGGTTTAGCTTGAGGTGTGAATGAAATATGGGTAGAGGTCAGCAGTGGACAGTTATAGAAGGATTAGGGGGTTGGAACTCAGCAGGGAGGTCAGGGAGCCGTCAGTGTGAAGGAAGCATTTGAAGCCTTGAGCTGAGCAGGTGAGGGAATGGAGGAGAGGTCAGAGTTCAGGAAACCTCGATGTTCATGAGGTGGGTTAAGAAGGAAGGTTCTGTGACTGAACCAGAGAAGTGGTCACCAGAGGAGAGAAATGGCAGAGGCGGCTGTCATGAAAATCGGGGACTGACAGCTGTTGAACTGGGGAGGCTCGGGCTCTGGGAGAACCAAGTCCAAACCCTCATCCACAGCTTTCCTGTCCCCTGATAAACAGCAGTGCAACCTTGGACAGAAGGACGCAGGTCCTGCGCTGGCAGAGCTCAGCTGAGGGCAAGACTAAGTGCGCACAGGCGTGTGGAATGACAGATTCTGGTGGGGATCATGGGGGAAGAGCCACAGGAGCTGTGAGAATGTGGATCAGGAGGGGCAGTGTGGGCAGTGCTTCCCAAGGAAGGATCCTTGGATGTGAGAAGCATTCAGAAGGGTGTGTGTGAGTCCAGAGAAAGGGAGCTGGTGTGTAAAGGTTGGAGCAGGGAGAAAGGGGGAGGGACCAGATCCCGCTAAGCCGGGAGCCCTATCACGGGACCTGGCCTGTGCCTGAGAGCTGGTCACGGCCTCTGAGGAGTTGAAGTAGCCTGGCCCACAGGCTCAGGCTTATATCCTGCAAGGATCAGCTTGCAACCAGCCTGGAGCCACCTGGTGTAGATGTGGTAGGACTTGTCAGGTTGTCATCAGGTCCCGATGAGTCAGTGGACCCATCGAGATGTGGAATTGGAGGACAGCAGACAGGCTATGAGACAGGCTGCCTCGATTGCTAAGGTGCCCAAACCTTTAGGAGAGTGCTTTCTTCCCCATCCAAGGTGAGATCTTTTGAGGTCGGAACCACACTTGTCTCTCTTTATGACTGTCATTTGGGAGAAATATACTAATTTTGTGGGAACAGCTGAAGATGACCACAAAATAAACAGAGAACTTAGGCAGTAAGGAACCGGTAGAGAGTTAGGAGGCGCCAGTCGCACTGTCAGCTATGGGCTGAGCCTGGCATGAAAGATCAGAGGAAGAGAAGGAGGAATTATTACCCTTCCCTTCACCTTAGCAGCCTCTGACCCACGAGGAGTCCTTTCTGAGTTAAGCTTTAGTTGGATTGAATTTAATGGAAGTACAACTGCCCAGAGCTGTCCAGGGAGATTTTGGAGCCAGAAAATAAAGTCTGTCACTATTTCTATTGTTTCCCTATCTATTTGCCATGAAGTGCTGGGACCAGATGCCATGATCTCAGTTTTTTGAAGTTGAGTTTTAAACCAGCTTTTTCACTTTGCTGTATAACCTTCATCAAGAGGCTCTTTAGTTCCTCTTCACTTTCTGCCATAAGGGTGGTATCATCTGCATATCTGAGGTTATTGATATTTCTCCTGGCAACCTTGATTCCAGTTTGTGCTTCATCCAGCCCAGCATTATGCATTATGTACTCTGCATATACATTAAATAAGCAGGGTGACAATATACAGCCTTGATATACTCCTTTCTCAATTTGAAACCAATCCATTGTTCCATGTCTGGTTCTAACTGTTGCTTCTTGACCTGCAAACAGGTTTCTCAGGAGGCAGGTCAGATGGTCTGATATTCCCATCTCTTGAAGAATTTTCCACAGTTTTTTGGGATCCTCACAAAGGCTTTGGTATAGTCAATAAAACATGTTTCTCTGAAATTCTCTTGCTTTTTCTGTGATCCAGCAGATGTTGGCAATTTGATCTCTGGTTCCTCTGCCTCAGATAAGTTTATTTGCATCATATTTTAGATCCCACATGTAAGTGATATAATGTGGTATTTGACTTTCTCTTTCTGACTTACTTGACTTAGTATGATAATCTCTAGGTCCATTCCTGTTGCTGCAAATGGCATTATTTCATTCTTTTTAATGGCTGAGTAGTATTCCCTTGTGTATATATACCATATCTTCTTTATCCTTTCATCTTTTGATGAACATTTAGGTTGTTTGTATGTCTTGGCTGTTGTAAATGGTGCTGCTGTGATCTTTCGGGTGTGTGTATCTTTTCGAATTACAGTTTTTTCCAGACATATGCCCAGGAGTGGGATTGCTGGATCATATGGCAACTCTGTTTTTAGTTGTTTGGGGGAACTTCCATGCTGTTTTCTGTAGTGGCAGCACCAGTTTATATTTCCACCAGCAGTATAGGAGGGTTCCCTTACCTCCACATCCTTTGCAGCATTCTTCCTTCTTTTTTAATCCCCTCATCATGTGTTACTTTCTCTCAGAGTCCTCACCACTGCAAAATAGTAAGTATTTTTTTATAATCTGCTCTTTATCTGAATTATAAACTCCCTTGTGCTGGGTTGTCTGTTTCATTTGTACCTATTTCCCCAGTACCTAAAATAGTGCCTGGCCCAAGTCAGTTTCCAGTTAATGAATGCATGAATGACTTGCTTAGCCTAATGGTGATGGAGACAGAAAGAAGGAAACCAGTTTCAGAGATATTTAGGAGATAAATGCAGCAGGAATTAAAGATGGATTCAATATGGAAGATAAGGGATGCTGAGTTGTCAAGGTTGCCTGCTTGGCTTGTGACTTGTTTAGGGATGGACAATGATATCATTCACTGAGAGAGTGGTACTAGCAAATCAGATTTGGGGGACTGATACCAATTTGAGTTTTTTACTTTAGAGGGAATTTTGCTTTTTAAAAAAAAAAAAAAACTTTCATTTTAAAATAATTGTAGATTCACATAAGAAGCATTGAAACTTTTTGGCCAACCCAGTAGCACAGCGAGATCCCACTGGTCCTTCACCCAGTTACAGAACTATCTTCACCCAGTTACAGAACTATAGTAGAAGGTTGCAAATAAGATACTGATACAGTAAAGATATGGAAGAATTCCTTCTGCCCCCATATGGGTCCTACCTGTTACCCGTTTTTAGACACACCCACTTTCCTCTGATTCCTTGTCCCTGTTTCTCACCTCCCCTTGTTCTTTCCCTTTTGTAACTCCTAGTCCATTTCTATAATTGTGTCATTTCAAGAATGTCATTTAAATGATCATACAGTATGTTACATTTTAGGATTTTTCTTTGCACTCAGCATAATTCTCTGGGAAATTTTTAAAGTAGTTTCTTGTATCAATATTTCATTCCTTTTGATTGCTGAATAGTTTTTTGTAAAGTACACATACCACAGTTATATAACCATTCACTTGTTGAAGGACATAGATTGTCTCCAGTTTCTGACAATTACAACAAACATGGCTAAAAACATTTGTGTACAGGTTTTTGTACAAAAGAAAATTTTCATGTCTCTGTGATAAATGCCCAGGAGTATAGTTGCTGGGTCATGTTGTAGTTGCATGTTTAGGTTTTGAAGACGCAAACAAATTGTT